CATTGATTGTGGATTATGGAGAATCATGTGCTTATTAGTTATTATAAAGCCATAAAAGCCATACCCATTTGTCTTATTGACTAAACTATTAATTTTTGTGCATTATTAAACTTAAATATCTATGTAGCATGGTCTAGGAGAGTGGTACTCGTATTATGCTTAATTGGTTTTATTATTTTTTATCAATGGTTTGTCATCATAAAAAGGGGAAATTATTGATCTTAATGTCTTGATGATAACAAACTCATTGAGAGTACTAATGGTGTATCTAAGTGTACAACAATCTTTAGTAAGCTTCTTTGTACTAAACAAGTATTAAATCTATAATGCCACTAAAGATTTTAATGCCTTTGGAACTGCTCCAAGATAATTTTCTACAACATCCCATCAAGTTGTATTCAATTATTATTTTTTTTTATTTTTTTAGGATCTTAGTGTAACCAATTGTATGATGCACTCTAAAAACACTCAATAAGATTAAGCTTAGTAAATCTACCTTACAATGGAAGGGTTTCTAGAACTTTAACACAAAACAATGTGTTGACTGATTGTGACAGCCAAGGGATGCATTGCCAAGTCTGTAAAGATTAGTTGAGTAACCTAAAAGGATATGTTGGCTAATTGTGACAACCAAGGCATGCAAAATGCCTAGTCTGAGAAGATATGTTAACTACCTAGAAAAGTAGAGTCAACTACCTCAGATAAACTGAGTTCAAAACTTATTAGTTGATTGATAAAGAGGAATTAGTTACCCAGGACTAGAGAGGAAAGATTCTTCCCTTTGTATTGTGGTCTACTAACAAATTAAACAATCGATTACTATGAAGAAAAATTGGCTATTTGAAGGCTCTAATGATTATTGCTATATTTGGAAAGTCCTCTATCATGTTGGTGGAAACTTGAATCATTACCAAAGAGAGTAAAATTTCTCTAACATTTAAAAAAAAATGATCATTTGCTCTTAAATCCTCTATAAAAAAGTTCATCTTGATCTAAAACCTAAGACACCATGAGTTTTGAATAAAGTCTTGTGAAAACAACTTGTGCATTGTTTTTATATATTGTATATAGTTGTTTTTAGAAGTGAGCTTGTGTTATAGAACTTTAGCTTGTGCTTGTGTTGTGTATATCTACCTATTTAGTTGTTCTTGCATGTAAACCTGCTATAATGTTAAAGAAGTAAAATTTATTTGAATAAGTATATTAAAGGTATTGTACACCAGGAAGTCCTATTGGTTTAGGTTAGTTTAGTATTCATGAAGTCTAACCGATTTCAAGTATTGTAGGCACCCATGAAATCTTTCTAACTATAAAGGCTTGATTACGCATGAAGTCTAGTTAGTTAGTGAAAATCCTTAGTGGTGGTTTAAGGTAGAGGACATAGGTAGGGTTGGCCGAAATCCTCTATAAAAAATTTTGTATGCCTTCTTTTGTTTCTTTTCTTTTCAAATTTTGTAGTTTAAGTTTATTTAGTAATGTTCTCACATAACTATATTAACTTGAATCCTTGAGCAAGATATAGGAAATATAGTGCAATTATTACGCTTTAACATTACTAACACTAGTAATTGCACTAACTCTCACTAACTACTTTACATTTATCATTATTGCTATCTATCTTCATTGTTAATTTATTATTCAATGTTATCGATATTTTTGTAGTTAGATCTATCCTTAATATTTCGGTAGCAATTGATCACTACTTGAATCTCAAGTTGATTGTAATTGGATAGCTGGTCATGTTCTAAGATATCGCTTTGTAGCAAGTCCATTTCTCTACTATAGTTTTGTGACCAATCATCTCTCTCCTGCTACCAAGGCACACACCACTAAGTGCAACTACCATTTGAATTATTTGTTCCTTTACTTTTCTAATGTTATTTACTTTTTGTATTTGTATTCTTCCGTTAACTGTAGAACCACTAACTAGATAATTGTAGTTCTTAACTATTGTATTTATCTTTCAACTGCTACCAACTTGTTAGTAGTCTTCCTCATTATTGTTATTACTTATTGATTGGTAAACCCTGTAGCTCCAGCTACTATATTGTTTGTTTAATTTTGCAGCTACAAGTTTCTAGTTTAGTAGTTAGATTAATCAAAGAGTAACATCATGATTAACTACTAAACCAAACTAACTAAGCCTAAACTTCCAATGCATCTTGATCTTTATTATCAAGAAGGCTTAGGTTTAATTTGAGGGGAAGGGTTTCTGATCTTGACTTGGAGTTCATATTAAAATTCAATTGTTTGAATTGAAATTCAAATTCAACCCGATTAAGGCTTGCTTGGTTTCTGGGATGGAAGGGGGTAATAGGAATATTCCCAAATATTCTTTCCTTCCTATTAGGGGTGTTCACGGTTTGGTTAATTGAACGGTGGGCCTTTTCTTCAATCTGAATCTATGGCACCAGTAACCAAAACTGAACCAAAGCCTTAATCGGTTTAGTTCATTGTTGGTTCAATTCATCATTTTTGGTTTTCATAATATTATATATAATAAATATAAAATATTATATTATAAATAATAAATAATATATATAATATACATAAATATATATGGTATATATAAATATATGTATATCGGTTGGTCCAATTAATTGCTGGTTTTTATATTCATTAATTGAAACCAAATTGGTACATTCGATTTTCCAAAATATTGAACCAAAATCGAACCGGTTAATTAGAATTTTTGGTTTGGTTTCATCAGTTTGGTTCAATTTTTCAGTTTTTCTTGCTCACCCCTACTTTTCATGTTTGATTGTGAGATATAATTTGAAACCTAATAAAAATTACTAAAGTTAATAAAAATATTAAATTATAGTAAGTTTTTTATCTAACAACTATTAAAAATTAATAAATTAATATTGTTAGAATAATTAAAATTAATAATAAAAAGTAACAAAATATTAAAAGTAATAAAATACACCATTTTGCATTCCATATACAAATTTTAGAAAATAATTAAAATAATAAAACTAGTAATGGCCCAATTAGAAATGTCATAAGAGTTCTTTTACTTAGACATTATCATTTATAACTTAGACTAAGTCGACAATACCTATAAATTTTTAGGCCTAAGCAACTATTTTCTATAAAGATAGGTCTAGCTTAGATTTGCACCAAGCCTACACATAATGCAGGCAAAAAATGATTCCAATTTAGATCGGATCTAGCTGCATCCACATCAATATCTGACTATGAAATCTCTAGATTCACATCCACATCTGATTATTATGTTGGATTTCAAATTTAATTTACAACCATCTTATTGTGTTTAAAATGACTAAAAGATTAAAAAAGTTTTAGATGAACTAATTATTTTTAATGTATATATGTATAGTAAATGCATATAAATATAACATATTAAATTTATTAATTAAAAACTTTATATAATTATACATAATATCTATATGTATACAAAATTATACGACATATATACATAAAATAATAATTTTTTAATACTTAATTTTAATCAGATCTAATGGGGTTAAATTTGCATCCAAATTGATTATTAATCAGATGAAGTTCTAACATCCAAATATGGGATAATTAGATTTGAAGTATAATTAAGTATTGGACTTTTGGTGTCCAATGATGACCTTAGCTAATAGGGCCCAAGCTAAGAAACCCTAATATCAACATGGAAGTTATATGCTTATATGGTAAATATTATTATATAATATTTAGATAACAAATATTATATCCATATATAGATAAACATTTATATATTTTTTTATAATAGACTAAAATTAAATAAAATTTTTAATTTGTAAAAAAAAACCATAGTTTTATAATTAACGTAGGTAAGCCCACCCATTTCCTAGGCCCAGACAAGTATTATTATGCTTGAGGTGTAAGTTGAGCTATGCTAGGCAACCTTAAAATCTGTTAAAACACTACCAAAATTTGGCTCGAGACCTATTATTATTATTATTCATTCATTCATTTATTCATTGGGCTACACAATGGGGTAATCCATCTACCATAGCTCATTGGCTTCAATATTTTCTAAAAATAGTTAAAAAACCAAAAAATAATGCATGCATGGGTTGTACTCGATTTGGTTCAACCCAATTACAAATGTCACATTGCTCTTAGTGGTGCAACTTAGGTGGGTTTGGGTTAGGTTGAAGATCAACTTAAGCCCAACCAGAAGTCTTAAACCTCGATCTTGGGATTAGATTAATTTAGTTATGACTACAACCTAATTTTATATATTTATTGACATTTAATTATTTTAAATATTTAAGTAATATTTACAGAAATTATAATGTTTAGTCATTAATATAAAGTAAAATAAATAAAATAGAACACTAATAGATAATATAGAAAAAATAATTATCTTATTCAATAATTAACAATAATTTATTATTTTTGTTAAAAAATTTTAACATAACTAATCAAAATTACTAAATTATTTTCGTAACAAATTATTAAAATAAAGATTAATTATTTTAAACAACATTAAATTTTTGTTTGGATTGTTTAACCTTATCTTGAGATCCCCCACTAGTGGTCTAAAATATATTAGGATCTGCTCCTCATAGAGGGCTTCCTACATTGACCTCACAGCCACATCCCACTGTGTATTAGAAACATCTCCCATCAATAATAACATAATACAAAGATGTTCCCAATGTACAGCTGATACATGTTTTGAGGTCTGTGTTAGGAGCGTAAGGAATTACTAGTCTGGATCTGCTCCTTATACAACCCTCATCACACTGACCTCACACTGGCTCTACTCGTAGTACTAGAGGTTCTCTTCGCGCTCTTTTCTTTCGGGCATTTTTTCACATTTGGAGGCAAACAGGAAATTGGCGGGAGACTCTTAAGTTAAACGCGAAATACGGGGAAAACCAATCGACGATCACCAACTCTCTTGGCACTTTAGGCTCTTTCTAACCGTCCGATTAGGACCTAAAGTGTTCGACTTTTAGTTTCTTGATATACAAGTGTTCGAACTTTAACTGCTTTTGTTTAAAACACTCCTCCATTTTCTTGCAATCAAAGCCGCAAAAGTAAACGCAGGGAAACGTCGTGACGATTAAAATTTCGTCGAGTCTCATCGGGTCACTGTTTCACCAATCGGAGAGGTGGGTATTCACGGTAAGCTTCCAATCCATTGTTCTTGAGGTGTTTAGTCGTTTAAATCGTGTAAAGTTGATGAAGATGAGATAAGAAATAATCAATTTGGTTGGCTCTGAAAAGAATCGGATTATTTATTTATTTATTTTTTTCGTTTTCTATATTTCAGGAATCCTAGATTTGGAGCAAAACTTTATTAGTCTCTTGTTTGGATTGTATTTGCTTTGGGGTTTAGATCTGTTGCTTTGTTCTGGCGGATTTTCTTTTTCTTTTTTTTTCCCGGTCGGCATTTTGATGGTGGATTCTGTGAGATAGCTTGAGCGGAAATCTTCTTGGGTTTTGGTCTTTGCCTGTAGGTTTTGGTTTTTGAATTGCTTCATCTGAAATGGTCGATACGGTGATGGTTGATGCTTTTTCTGTTCATGGATCCAAGGAGTTGGAAATGAAAGGGGGAGAAGGTGAAAAGAAAGTGAAGAAGCAGTTGAAACGGAAGAGGGCTTCTGTTCTCGAAAATGTGAGCTTAGAGGGGAGGGAGTCTATAATCGATGCTCTGCGACGAGAGCTTGATGGGTTGTTTAGGTATTTCAAGGAAGTTTCGATGCAAAAGGTCCATTTGGAAGATAGTAGTAGCTGTGTGAGTAATTCTGTGATTGCTTGTTTGCTTGAAGAGAGGGATATTCCGTTCTCTAAGCTGGTGGAGGAGATTTATGAGAAGCTGAAGACGAGAGAGGGGGTTACTTTGGCGTCTGTGCGTAGTATGGTGCTTTTTGTTGGGCAGAGAGTGATGTATGGTGTTGCTAAAGCTGATGCTGACGTTTTAGAAGACAATACAGAATCGTGCCTCTGGTGTTGGGAGGTAATAATCAACTGGATCTTTTCCTCCTCACTTGTTTATGACATTTCTTTTGCGGTGCTACGTGTATTCCATCTTCATTTGCAAGTTTGTTATTGTTTCCGTTATTTATATAACTATGTTGATGTCTGGTTGATTAGACTAGAGATATGAAGATAATACCCAAGACCTATCGTGGAATTTTGGGCATTAGACGTACTTTTCGGAAGAAAATCCACGAGAGGATTTCTGCTGTTTCAGGTACGTAAATGACTTTCTTTAAATATATGAGCTGATTTTAATTGTATAGTTTCTGGAGTAACTATATATTTAAGACTGAAAATTTGTAAACTCCACTATACTAATTGTATTTTAGTTTATGGGACCTTTTTTTTTTTTTGAATATTTGAAGCCATAGTGTTCTGTATTCCCCTTTGAACAATGCTGGTCAAATCTACCTTGATCTCATTTAAAATATTAGAAAACTTAACTCAACTTGTAAGTTCCTTTGGGGGCTTAATTGCTTGCCTCTTGATAGTCTGTATTGGGTTTTGAACTCTCTTTTTGGGTGGATTTCTCTATAGCATGTATATGCTTCAACTGCCTTTGTAGGAAGCTATTTGGTAGATATAGACTATGCTTGAATTTGTATGCCATTGAAAGTTTTACATGTTCAAATTGTTGAATGCTTTAAGCACCTTGGTATGATTCACATGTGTTTGCTTTCATTACCACATTTTCATTTTGAATATGTTTTATATGTTATACTTATAAAATTTAATTTGAGCCAATAGACTTTATAAAACATCGAGTTTTCTTTTAAGATTCAGGTTTGAATTTTTATGTATTATTGTTTTTTATTTATATTTTTTAAACAGTGTTTTTCTTTGAAAAGGTGCACAGCTCACCTTGTGTCTTGCGCTTTGTTTGCTAGAAGGCCCTTATCCATTTTTTGTGTCTTGTGCTTTTAAAACACTAAATCAGCATATCCCACATTGAGAGAGTTCAAAAGTTATTCTGATTGGATAGCACTCATTATTTTGGACTTTTAGATGAAATGTGTTCTTCAATGGAAAAACCTGTCAATGGGCTATAGTTGTGGGTTATTAATAGGAGATTAACGACTGTCATTGTTTGGAAGGGCCTCAAAGTTGGAACATTTGAATTGGTTGGCCCTGTTCAATCAACATATGTTGCATATTTAAAACATCTGGGCATTTGGTCTCCTGTTCCAATGCATCTCTTTCTGCTTAGTGAGTTCATTCCCATACAAAGTGGTTACTAACCTTTATGGTGTGTTTCAGCTATGATCTCTGCAATTCAAATGCCAGAAAGCCATCAGAACTACAGAAATGAATTATCGAAAGCATCAGATAAGCTTGGTAAAGCGTTAAATGAAGGAGAAATTCGTTCATTTGTGTATAATATGGTGCAAAAGAACAACTCAGATCTGTATGTACACGATATAGCACTGCAGTTTGTTCATAATTATTTTCTTTGTAGATTTGTTATTCAAAGTTCAGCAATATTTATTGTAGGGCTGAGAAGGAGGCCAAATTAAAAGAGAAAGAGCTTATCAAGGAACTCGAAAGAAACAAACGTGAAGCTGAGAAGGAGAAAAAAAGAATAGATCGTGAAATCCAGAAGGAGAAATGGCAAAGTGTAAGTTAATCTTCCTAATGCTTTACACAGTTTTTAATAAATGAAACCTATTCACATAGATTTGTTTTGATTGGTACCTATTTTCATAGATTTCAAACTAAACAGGATTTTTCTAGAAGTCAAGGTTCTTGCTTGTCATGATCAAGTTCTATGCAAAATGCACCTCTACAGCTAAAATGCTAAATGCCAAGGAAACCTGTTGTGTTGTTAAGTAACTAGGGCCTAGTGATTCTACCATTATCTAGGTTAGGCTGCATGTCACTTGCATTAGGGAATATTGAGGGGACTAGAGGGCCACAATTTGGCTGCACCTTTCAAATATTTGACATCCAAGAAATGCTTTCTTGTGCAGTTGTTAAACTAAATTGTCCTGGAAGATGGCTTCTGTTCTGATAGCTATTATCGATAATTGTTGGTTGATTCTTTTCACAGAAAATAATCTTTAATTAAATTAAAAATTTCAATCAAATGCTAAAATTGAAACTAACTACAATTGTTTGCTGCTGAAGAAGTCTCATAAACCCTACAAATATCTGGTAGGTTTTTTTTTGACAGTTAGCATCATTGAACTAGGTCATTGTTTCTTGTTCCATTTTAATTATATAAAATGGACTCCCCAGATGTTGATCCTGCTAACACTCAATTTTCTTGGGTGTCATGCATGCTTTACCAAGATTAAATAGGACTTTTCAAATGAATCATGAAAAAGTATCCTAGATTTTCTCTCTTTCCTAGTCAATGTTGTTTCTTTTTACATGTCATTTTCTCTTGCATCATTTTACTGAGCTGGTTATTCTATTGCAGGAAAAAGAGCTTAAGCGGTTGCAAGATGAAGCAGAGAAAGAAGAAAGGCGTCATGAGAAAGAGGAAGCTGAAATGAAGAAACAACTTAGGCGGCAGCAAGAGGAAGCTGAAAAAGATCAACGGCGGCAGCAAAGGCAAGAAGCTGAACTGAAAAAGCAACTTGCCTTGCAAAAGCAAGCTACAATCATGGAACGCTTTCTGAACAGCAAAAAGAACACTTCACCTAACCAGGATCAATCTTCAACAAAGGTGATAGTTTCTGATTCTTTAAGCAAAAGAGATGAAGTGATGCCTAATGCAGTTACATTATCAATGGACCATGCACTATCTCTGCATGAGAAGATGAATGCTGATGACCTTCGCAAGTATGTTTAAGGACCTGTATTTTTCAGTTCTTGCAGCATCTAGTCTATTTCACTCTCCATAACTATGATTTTATTCTTTGCAGGTTGCACCTGAACTCTTGGCATCAGTTTGGTCATTCTATTCATTCCAACAGATCCCAACATTGGGGCATTAGGCATAAGCCTAAGACTGTATTATTCAAAGAACTTAAACTAACATCTAGTAAAGGAGTTGTCCGTGGTGATGATTTGAGCCTAGAGAAACTTGTAGATGGTTGGGAAGAAACTGCTCCTGATGATAGACCATGCCAAAACAATGCAGATGCTTCTTCAAGTGGCATCTGGAAATCTAGGAGGTCTAGGCAACTCTTGCAGTTTGACAAGAGCTACAGGCCAGCATTTTATGGTATTTGGCCGAGGAAAAGGTATCTGTCCTATTTCTTGGATTGGTTATTTAGTACACAAGAGCATTTTTGAAAAGCTAAATCTTCATTAACACTTATAGAGAGAGTTGTATCCCTGCCTAGAATGCATAGGGAGGTGGGATCCACTAATTGTTTCACCTGTGATGTTGTGTACTGGCAATGGGGTTGTCCAGTGCTTTTTGTCTTATTTTTTCTGATTCTATGTCTTCAAGTTTAGCGCATCTTGGTTGGCCTCCTGAACTGGCAATATTTGCCTCCTGGCTTATTATTTGCTTTCTACATCTGGGAATCTCTCTTTCTGTGTGTGTGTGTGCCCCTCCCCTCCCTTCACATGGATATGTGAATGTCTTTTGACTTACATGTTTTCTATTTTACTTTCTATCTGCTTGTTAGCCATGTTGTTGGGCCACGCCATCCCTTTAAGAAGGATCCAAATTTGGACTATGAAGTTGATAGTGATGAAGAATGGGAGGAGGTATAATTTTTTATTTCTGTATGCAAAGAAAATTACTAGCAACAAAGATATCAGATGTTGATGTTCTAGTTATGCAGGAGGACCCTGGTGAAAGCCTCTCAGATTGTGACAAAGATGATGAAGAGGATTGTTTAGAAGGAACTCTAAAAACTGATGAAGAAGATGGAAGTGAAGATGGTTTCCTTGTACCTGATGGCTATCTTTCAGAAAATGAGGTGCTTATTTAATGTTTTTCCTCTTTGATGTCTTGGAGCTACATGGTATCTTAACTTGATTTTTGTTTAGATTTAATGGAGATAATTAGTTCTTTAAACTTGCCATCAACATATGAGCTAGCCCCGTGTCAGAGAGTTATAACAAGAGATGTTTTTTAACAGGATACTGCCTTTATATATTGACATGCTTTTATAGAGGGCTAAAATAGTTGAGTGGTTCTCGTTATGTTAAAATTCTTTTTCAATGGGTTTTTATTTTTTTTTGTTCTGCTATTGGATAAATATATGGTTCCTGGACATGACTTCCAAGTTTGTAAACTGTGATTGTATTTTCTTTGTAATCGTTTTCTTTTGATTACTGAAGACAAAATGACAAGGGAAACCCATTAACATTATTTGTTTTCTATTGGGCCAATATAATGATGAGGTCTGTTTGGTACTTTGGTTTTGATGTGCAGGGAGTGCAAGTTGACAGAATGGAATCTAATCTTGTAGATGATGAAGCCAGAAGTCCCCCTAGTAAGCATGATGCTGAAAATGAGGAATTTCGAGAATTGTTTCGGCAGCAGAAGTATCTGAACAATTTGACTGAACATGCTCTTCGGAAGAATCAGCCCTTAATTATATCAAATCTGATGCATGAAAAGACTTCATTGCTGATGGCTGAAGATACAAGTGGTGCACTTAAGCTTGAAAATATGTGTTTGCAAGCTCTGAGTATAAAGGCATTTCCTGTGGTGCCACCTATAGAGATATCGTGTGACAATAGCACACTGAATGTGGATCAAGAAATTTGCCATATGCAAAGTAATGGCAGTAGTGCAGCATCAGCAGATGCAGCAGATATTCTTGAAGCAGAATTATCCAAACTTGTAAGTACATTTAGTTTGTTAAGCCATGATAAAGTGCCTGTGAACTGAGAATGATGAAAACCTTTGAACTGGGCTTCCAGGTATCTGCCATCCAGTCATCTCCACATAGGATCAGTAAACTAGTAGAGTCCTTGCAGCAGAAATTCCCAACCGTCCCAAAGTCCCAATTAAGGAATAAAGTTCGTGAAATATCAGAATTTGTGGATAATCGCTGGAAGGTCAGTGAGGCAGTTGTGTTTAGCTATTGCCTATTAAGTTCTCTATAACTTTGTGTTCTTACTTAATAGATGCAGCTTGTGTCAGGTTGCCTTGGGTTGATGTCAACCCTAGTCCAACCTGATGTGTCAAAACCTCAACCCTGAGCCTAACCCAACCAAAATCTCACCCAATCATGAGATAATAATAGTTTGGTTGGATTCAGGTTGGAATCTTACCTATCCAATTTACAAACACTTGCACAATTACACAATCATATTCATTCAAGTAACATATTGCATATGAAAATGATACACATGCATCACACTATAGTATATTTTACAATAAAGCATTCATTCATGACTATCACCATCATCCTCTCTCCCTTTAGATTGAATTGAGCCTGCCCAAGGCATCAAGCCTAACCACTGACTTTGTATTGGGCTGGCATTTTCAAACCCCAGTCCTAATCCAATCTGCAACTCAACTGAACTAGTGTTGTTGTGTCAGTTATGTTGGGTTGGGTTGTGTTGGTCCAATATCTAGTGTTGCTGTGTCAGTTATGTAGTTGTGACAGGGGGAGTAGCAGGCGCAAAAGTGGAAATGCCAATGGTAGTGGTGCTTGTGCTAATTTAGGATTTTGGCCTGGTTGATTTAAAAACAAAAACCCATTCCTCCTAATCTAGGACAAAAGGAGATGCCAAAAGGAATTTTAATTTATTAGAACCAGTGCAAAATTGACACTGAAGTTGTTTCAAAATGTTTATTGGTCTCTTGCTGATGATGTATTTCATGAAAATGCTAAGAGGCCAACTTGTCTTTATGATGCATGCAGGTTAAAAAAGAGGTTTTGGGCAAGCTTGGCTTATCTATATCCCCAGGTATGCCCGTTTTCTACAACTAGGAACTAGCCATATCAAGAAGGGTTATTTATTAAGACACCCCTATGGTTCATGTAAATACTAAGACCTATGCTATAGTTTGCATATTACTAAGATACCCCCTCTACTTTGCAGCCACTTAATGCACCTTCCATTAGGAACCACTGTATATCCGTTTGGGAATATTTATTTTTCTGAGAATACCCATAAAAAGTCTCATCGCTGGCAGCAATAAGTTGTTGCCAAGTAGATGGGGTGGGTCTTAGTAATTACATTTTAACCATAGGGGGGTGTCATAGTAAATGACTATTAAGAAAACAATGTTATGACAATAGGGGAATGAACTTTCACCCTCCCGGGTTTTAAAAAGACTAGGGGTGCATGTTGGGCTGGCTTGGGTTGAGGACTTGATAAAATTTAAATATGTTGCATAAATTCTTCAAATCGAGTGCCCAACTTACATTCCCAAAATGACAAAAATGCAAGCAACTGTACAAATTGTACATAGCCCATGTCGTGTATGCTAGAAATGCATCAGAAGTAAAATCCCAATGTATTATGGTCTAGTCCACCTTATTGAACATCACCAAGTTTGCTCTGTTTGTTGCATGCTCTTTCTTCAAGCTAATGGTTTCTTTAAATTTGCAGAGAAGAGTAGTGGGAAGAGAAGGGGTATTGCCTCCTTTTTTTCGAAAAGATGTCTGCCGCCCGCTAGTGAAACTATCAACCATGAAACTTCGCCTCAGCCTTGCAATAAAACAGAGGTTCACCCTGGACAGCAAGGATGCAAAGAGACCATTTTGTAACCCCTTCGACGATAGGAAATTATATTTTCTTTTGGTCAGTCTCTTTGTGATGATAGCATACGAGTCATACACGACGAAATTCATGCTCATATTTGATTGATGTAACGAGGGTCTCTGTAAGTATTGCTAATTTACCATGCCTCCAGGGGGTCTGTACTAATTTACAGTGCCTGAGTTAAGGTCTCAAGTGGCTGTGTATTTCATCCTACAGGCTTTGGTTCTTATAAAATTGGGAGAATTTTTGTAGCTTGGATTAATTTGTATGGCAAAATGTCAGTTTTTAATTTTCTGATCATCTAGGTGTTATTTCTAATGATGTTACTCCAAAGTGTTGTAATTATGCTTGGCAAAATCGACATTGTACACAATGAATATCAAGGTTTAAAGCATTGGAAACTCTGTAAATGGGTACATCTTTTTATGTGATAAATAACCTTTAAGTTGTATTTTATGAAAGCGACGTAAGTGTTAAGACCGACTTATTTTAATAAATTGGTTGACATGGTCCAAAGGAAAGAATGCTTGTCTTGTACATTCTGTTTTATGTGTATATCACATCACTTGCACATGGTTTTATGGGGAATTGAGATCAGTTTGTGGGCCATTAAACCATTCGCCCTGGTTGGTTAGAGATAATTTGGTTCAACTATAGGTTGAACCGTATGTATCTAACAAGGTTCAAAGTATCATTATGTATTGGCCTGTATTGGTTGTATCGTTCTGGGACCCTTTTAATATGCCTCTATCGAGGATCTGATAGGCTCAGGGGATGGAGGGGTCCTAGACTGTCTCCCCTAAATCAGTTTTGAAAAAAAAATTAAATAAAACAAGTATCGATATGCCACTGATGTATCGGGCATATCAATATTTTGAACCTTGGTATCCAATGCAACTCTCTACCACCCCTAATCGGATTAGGGATCAAGTTAATAATTAGGGTGAGGTTTTTGACAATCATAAATCCTCCATGAGTTTTCCCTTTTACAAAACCTCCCCTATGGTTATGGAAAAATTTGCAGCTATCTCCCTTTTGTTATTGATGTGAAACATTGGCTACTTGGCTTAAAACTTTTGTTCCTTTTAAAAAGAGGAAAGGGTCCAATTCACGGTGGATGACAGGGCCACGCCTCGTTTTTGAAAAAAATTGTACTTTTAGAATGAGAGGCTGAAATTCCAACGCAGTATAGGCTCCAATTTGGAGCTTCTAATCAACAGTGATGGTGCCCTTTATTGGAATTATTTTTCATTGGTTATTAAGTTATAAGTTTCATTGTCTCTAAAATCTATACGTGTAGTCCATTGCATACACAAGCCATATATTTAAATAAAGATGTTTAAAATTACATAAACTGACCTTACTCCTATGTTGTAGACTGTGGTGGAGATTTATACTTGTCTATAGAAAATCCAACTCAAAGGAATGGTGGGTGCTCGCTTGGCTCTCATGGCAACTTTTTCCTCCAATTTTCTGAACTTTGGAACCAAACCACAGACATAGTCTTGTGCTCTTCTCCCTTCACTAGAGAGGCCTGTTAACTTCTCCACATTCCATTTACTCACCTTGCATTCCAGTATATCATTATAGTCCTTTGCTGTGTAAACACCAAGCCGCTGTGCAACTGTGGAATAGTGCTGAAAAAGGTTCTCATCTTGTCCATCAAACATCATGTGGGCTGGCATTATGATCTTCTTCTTCATCATATCTGCAAAAGCCAAGATGGTACCATCTGGGTCAATCTCAAAAAGCTTCTCTATGATCTTTGTATAGGCAATCTCATGGCGCTTCTCATCAGCAGCAATGGTTCCACATAGTTTTGCTAGCTCCTTGTCCCCATACTTCATGGCAAGGTTGGCTGTATTCCCATGGGAGATGAAGGTAGCCCTCTCTTGGAATGATGTGTAGATGAATAGAAGGTAGGGGTTATTCTCAGTCATTGGATCCTATACAAATATTGAAAATGGAAAATCAGATTCAGAATCAATAGCAAGGTAATAAATATGTTTGGTTATTGAGAAAAGAAGCTACCATTCCTGAACCAATAAGATACTGAGTTGTCTTTTCAATTTTCTTCATGTCTACCCTTCCAGAAAGATAGAGGTACTTGTTTAGAAGGTCTCCATGTCTGTTTTCCTCAGAAGTCCATGCCCTTATCCACACTGCCCATGAAGTAGGACTGGCTCCTGTTTCATCCCGCACTCCATCTCCAGTGTTCAGCATTGTTTGGTAAGTTGGAAGAGCTTCCTCTGTGATCATATCTCCGACTAAGGCGACGAAATAGTCGTCGGGGATCTCCTTTGCTTTCTCTCTTATTTCCTTAATTTTCATATAGAATTCTTCAGAGTTGGAATCTGGTAGAAGGTCCTGTGGTTGCCAGCACTTCTCAACAGGCTTGAGGTAGATCAAGACATTCTTTTGCACCCAGTCTTCCATGGATTTGAATATTTCCTTCTTATGTGGTGGCAAGGAGTGGGCCGCTTGATTATGTACTTGGCAGGGATAGCTGAAGGGATTCCTTAACCTCCTAATTAAACAGAAGAATTCTAGCTTAAAAGCCTATATACATTTCAGAACTGCAAATTGTTACAAGCTACAATTTTTTTTTTTTTTTGGGTCACACCAGCAAAATTTTTTACAGTAATCACAGGATTGAGTTATTTCTTCAAAATGTTTTTTTTTTTTAATTAGGAATTACTAGTTGATATTTGATAACATAGAATGCTTTTTCAATTATAAGGCTGCTACTGCATCAGAACATATTGGTTGGGATTATTTTCTGCTCCGTTGGAGGTCTAAATGGCCAAATGATCACCAACTCAAGAACTCTGTACATACTTTACATGTAAACTCGTATTTTCAACAAACCAGGCGCTTGGTCTTTTGTCAGGCCTTTTTTTTTTTTGTGGTTATTCCTAACTCATGAATTGCATTCTTGTATGACAAAGTCTTGGATCTGGGCCATATGATTCATAGAACATTCTGGAACTGTGACATTAAGATGAATCCCAGTATGTACTATGAACAATATTGGCCCAAAAATCAATTTGAAACAAAATGGCATCTTACCATTGTGTAAGGCTGCGTTTGTTTGCACTACAAAACTGAACTGGATACAAATTTTGTACCTGGTTCCATTGTGCATCTGTTTGTATGTGACTATGATTGAACTCTTACCTAATGCAAAATTGCACTTTTGCATCATTTGCATCCATTAACAGTGCAGTTTTTGCATATGAAAAATTGATACAAAATTTTGCACCATTCCCTCCTACCTTAATTCTCTCTATACTGTTGGAATCACATCAATTTGTTTCCTACCCACCTGCTTCATTTCTCTTTCATATAAATTGGGGGCCACATCATTTTACTTCTTGCAAACAAACAAAACAGGGCCAAATCTAAAGCAAAAGTAAATCAGGATTTACACTCAGTCCATTTGCACTCCTATGCATTTACACCAATGCAAATGGAATTGGCATTGCAACCAAACGGAACCTAAGGAATTGGCAATGTAATCTATGCATTTACACTAATGCAAATGGAATTCGCATTGTAGCCCAGGATTTATACTCAATCCGTTTGCATTCCTATGCATTTACACCAATTGAAATGGACTTGGCATTGTAACTAAATGGAGCCTAAAGAAATCATTATACTATACGGTGACTTTTTGGTATAGTGCCACTATTAGGGTATGTTTGGTTTGAAGGAAAAAGGTAGGGAAAGGTGGGAAAACATTTACAAACCTTGTATAGGTTTCCCCACCTTTTCCTTCCTTTCCCTACCTTTCCCTACCTTTTTCTTCAAACCAAACATAACCATACTGAGACAAATACATTGGTGGGCTCTAATTCTGTGCAACATGTGGTAAAAGTATGTGCTAGATCAAACTGATTTTACAGAAATCATGAACATATGCTTAAATTGCAATGTTTCAGTAGTGCTATGTTTGGTTGGTTGGAATTTGAAAAGAAAGTGGAAAAAAGAAAAAAATATTTGAAGAACGGAAAATGACATTTTCTTTTTTTCTTTTTTTTTTTTTGGTGGGCAAATGGAAAAGAAAGTTTTGCACGATTGTTTTTCTTTTCTCAGAGTTGGGCGTTTGATATCATGTAGACCTATTCATGGGCCAGGCTTCGAGCCTAAATTTACACTGTGTAGGACTCAAGTTTCGGGCCGGGCCCATTCAAGATTTGGCAAAATCCAAGTCTGAGTTCGGCCCATTCAAAATTTGGGCGTTTGAGTACTTTTGGATTGTTTTTCATCTTTAATACAAGTTAAAAATAGTATTTTGAAAACTAAAATAAATAATTTAAGATTTATTTTTTCTAAAAAGATTAATAAAAACTAAAAATTATAAAAATGATATATTTCATCTACCTTAGATGATTTATATATTTTATTTTACACATAATTATATGTTAAAAATGAAAGCATAATTATTATTTGAAAAATAGTTATTACACAAAATACTAAATAAATAAATTTTCCTAACAAAATTAACGGAAAACAAAAAATTATAATTATAAAAACTGAAACGAATAATTTAAGATTTAATAAAAACTGAATATTAAATATAATTTATTTTATATACCTTAAATGATTTATTTGTTTTATTTTACAATTATGTGTAAAATAAAAACATTATATATTAAAAATGAAAACATATTTATTATTTAAAAAATAGTTGTTATTTAACTAAAATACTTAATTAATAAATATTCCAAAAAATTAATAAAAAATGAAAATTATAATTATAAAATTGAAAGAATGATAATTATTGTACAATATTTGAATGTTCTAGAGTCCTAGTATTGTTTATTGTAATATTTTTCTTCCTATAACCTATTGAAGTATGCATTTCTCATGTCTTTATATCTTATTCATAGATAATTCAGCTTTTGGTTTAGTGTTATTAATGTATTTATGTAATTTGTATGCATTTCACTAGCATATCCAAGCGTTTCTAGAGCGTATCCGTATCCATATCCGACTTATCCAATACGATACCCGATACCGATACTTTAATCCTTGGTATCAGGCACCTTGTCTCTCTACTACGAGGCTACCACCTCTATTTTTGAGAGGTGTACACCTCACTGCCTTACAACCTCAAATTGGTGAAGCGTAACCTCAAACAAAAAAAAAAACTGAAAAAAGAAAAAAAAAAGCTTATACATTAGTTATAATACTTCTTAAAATTTAAAAATCGATTATTTAATTGTTTATAAATAAAATGAACCAATTTATACTAAAACATTTCCCATAATACTTCTTTTAAACAAAAAAATGTCATTAATTTTTCTCTTACTAAATGTATATTTTAGAATAGGGTTTCTTTCTCTCAAATCTAATTACAATGGACAAAAATATCTTTTTACAAACAGATTTTGCTTCTTGATAGAACTCCCCTTTTACTAGGTTTAATTTTTCATCATTTATAAATTAGGTTATACACACACACACACACACACACACACACACACACACATATATATATAAGTAAAGTTACTTTTTATTTAGTAAAAAAGGTTATAAATGTCAAATAAAAGTTTAAAACATATCACATTAAAAGAACATATTTAATAAAAAAATATAAAATAACTATGAAAGAAAAAATATATAAGGAAATTAAAAATAATTTTGATTTGTTGTGTGTGTGTGTCCACCAAGCATGGTTCAAAGTATTTAACTACGAATTGCACCTCCTAGTATTTCTTTCTCTTTTTTGGGTAATCATGTATACCAAGCATGGTTCAAAGTATTTATATGCCTCTTTGTATTGATAGAGGTGTATTGGTACTTTAATCGATATACCTTTATTTTTTTCTTTTTTAAATTTTAATTTTAAGTATAATTATATAATATATATTATTTAATATAAAAAGGAATTTGTAAAAACACCTGTAAACATGTCTATCAGGGTCCAAAGATATGATACAATACATCCCGTATTGAGTATGTTGTGTCAATACTTTAAACCTTGATACCAAGATGGTAAGAATCAACATCATCTTTTTATTGTAATGTGGGATCTCCAATATTTAATTTAATTTTTTTGTCATCTAAACGAGAGTATGAAGCACAATATTAGGCTGACTCTACCTTTTGGCATAACATAGGGTTCATCTCTTATTTGGAGACTTTTTCATGCCCTAAGGCATTTCCATTCAACAAACACAATAAATTGTGACTAGATAAAGCACACTTAGATTGGGACTAGATAAACTAGACATGACCCAAAAATTAATACTTTAATTGAATTTAGATGGGCATAGGCCTACCAATGGTACCTGAAAATCCAAGGCCCGATCCGATATCTGATCCGATTGGGATGATGTATTTTATGTAATCAGATTGGATTCAGATGTTACAATTTACATCTGATTAATAATCGGATTATATCATATTATTTATTAATTTTAATAATCTTTAATTCTTATTTATCTCTAAAATTATCTCTAATTAGGTATAGAGTTTCTCTCCTAAATTATCTCTAATTCCTATTTATCTTCTCCCACTTTTGATCTATATCTATCTAAAGAAAGTTTGAATTAGAAATTTAAGAATTATTTAAATCTTATAATGAAATTACATAGTTACTTTAAGATATGTACTATAATATTTTTATGGATTATTCAATTTAATAACTAAATAATATTTTAAAAATTTAAATGACAAAATTATTTAAACATTATTCACATAATAAAAATTTAAAACTAAAAATATTATTTAAGTATTTCAATAATCACTTTAAATAACAAAATATCAAAATAGCTAAATAATTATATAACATAATATTTAATATTACATAATAACTTTTAAGTAAATAAAATTGAAATAGAAAACTAAATATTTTACATATTATTTAAACATTTAAATACATAAATATTTTAGATAACAAGATATTTAACATAACTAAATTTTAAATAGTTAAAATAACAAAATTATGTAATAAATTTAAAAAAGTTTTTACAAGTAGAAAAGTAATTATAATAGATCTCATAATATTTCAATTATTAATAATTTTATATTTCATAAAAGTAATAACAAATTATATAATAATAGTATACATTATAATTTTATAGATTATTAAATTCAATAAATCATAAATATTTTAAAAATATAAATAATGACATTATTTGAATAACTAGATAATATTGTAAATAAATAATTTTTAATTATGTTAAATATAAAAATTAATAACTAAATCATATTTTGAATATTAATTAAAAATAGAAGAATATAAGGAAATTATGTAATAACTTTCAGAACATAACAATTATTAGTAATTTTAAAATATTTATCTATCTTTATTATATATTTCTGTATACTAAAATTAATATTTAGTGTATTTTTAGTAATTATTTATTGTATTATAAATATATTTTTAACTGTAAATCTAATTTTGTTTTGTTATTTAACAAAATAATTTCAATAATTATTGAAAATGAAAATTTTATTATTTGACTTTTAAATTTAATTTATTGTACTTATTGGATTTATTATATTTTTGTTATGATTTATTGATTAATATTTGTTAGAGATTAAATTATTATTGGATATTACACTATTTATTGACTAATTTAGTATATTTGTAGTATTTATTGTATTTTCATAATTATTGTATTCATTGTATATTTATTAGTTGTTTGTTGTATTTTCATTATAAACTATTGTTATTTATTAGAGATTAGACTATTAACTTAGCTAAAATTAGGGGTGTTCATGGGTCATTTTGGTTTGGTTGAAGGCTGTTTGGCTAACTAAACTAACTTGGTTGGGTTGGGGAGTTGGTCACCCGAAAACTAGACTTGTTCATGGGCCGAGTAGCCCAACGGGTTGGCCCGGCTTTGCCCATTCTAAATCGGGCTTGGGCAATGTTTTAAGCCTATAAACTTAGGCTTGGGCTTTCCCAAATAATCCCATCCCGAGCCTAACCCAATAATATTATATATTGCAAAATATAATATATATTATATAATAAAATTAGTAGTGAAAAAAATATATTATATTATAATATATAATATATTATTAATAATATTATAATTAATATAATATAAACTATTTGTCTAGATTAGGCTTCGGGCTTGGGCTCAGGCCTGGTCATTTTCCCAAAATTGAATATTAGTAAAAATCGGCCAAATCGGGTTGTATCCAATGTTCAATTTATCGATACGTATCGTGCTGATGGCTTCCCGATACGCCCCTTCCAAGGATTGTATTGGGTCAGACCATGGTTCAGAGGGTAGTTGGGCCTTAAATTGACCCCTCTGAACTGGTTTCGGAAAAAAATAAAACCTAAAAAAAGTACCGATATAGGCTGATACGCCGATATCGGCCTGTGTTGATACTTTGAACCTTGGTTGTATCAGTTTGGTCGGTTGATTCAAAAGATACAAACTTAAAAATTAAATTTAAGTTTAACAAATTATAACAATATTATTAAAAACTAAATAAATAATTTAAATTTATAATATAAAATATTTCAGAGTAAGAAATTTGGGAGTTTTCTCACTTTCCTGTATTAAAAATTATATTAAATTATAAAATATTAATATATACCTATAGTCAGGATGACTCAATTTTGGTCGGTTTACAAATGGCTAAAACAAAACTGACCAGACCTAGTTGAGTTGGGAAATTGCTGAATTGAAGCTGATTGGAAAATACTAGAAAACCGATTAATTCAAGTCAAGTTAGGTTGGGTTTGTCAGTTTCATCCATTTGATGAACAATCCTAACTGAAATTAATTGTTATTATTTTTGTATTGCAAAATATTATTAAAAATATCATTATAAAATATAAATAATTATTAGTTATATAAAAAATTAAAATATAAAACAATTGTATACTCTTATGTGTTTGTATTGTTTAGTTTTTGTTTAACAAAACCCGTGCATCGCATGGGTCCCAACTAGTAACAATATATAAGTATGACTGAGACGTGTTGTGAAATTGGTGTGAGGAGTAGATCCGGTATTGCTATACTTGAAGAAAAGAAGATGAAATGGTGTGGGCAATGGACCCCAAGGGCAGATTTACTGCGACTTATTGTGAATCAAGAGTAATTACTTAGGCCGCGTTTGGCAAGTCCTTCTGCATGGGCTTCGGGCTGTTTAGAAGCCCAAAAGCCTGAATTCTAGGCTTTTTCCATTTGGCAATGAAAAGATCTATTGGGAAAAAGTTCCAGCTAATAAAAGACGCTAGAAACCTGAATTTGGGATTTTTTCAAGAAGCTTGAAATGAAGCTTTTACAATCTTTTAGCGCTCCATCTTCTTCGAACGCATGGCACGACGCACATGCTTGGGAGAAAATGGGTTATCTTTCCACAAAAAACTATTTGAATGTGTAAGTGGGACCTACCAATGGTATGTGAGGCCCACCTTGGAAAAATGTATATGGGGCCCACATTAGATATTGTGGGGCCTACCTTGAAAAAATGTATGTGGGCCCACATACATGTCCACACATGGACCCACATGCATATCCACACATGGACCCACATGCATGTCCACCAATAGCATGTGGGACCCACCTTGTAAAATGAATGTGGGCCCCACATACATATTCACCAATAGTATGTGGAACCCACCTTGAAAAATGTATGTGGGCCCCGCATACATGTTCACACATGGATCCCACATGCATGTCAAATGGTATGTCGGGCCCATCTTATAAAATGTACGTGGGCCCCACGTACATGTCCACACATGGACCCTACATACATGTCCGCCAATGATATGTGGGGCTCACCTTAAAAAATGTATGTGGGCCCCACATACATGTCTACACATGGATCCCAAATGCATATCCACCAATGGTATATTGGGCCCACCTTGTAAAATGTACATGGGCCCTACATACATGTACACACATGGACCCCACATACATGTCCACCAATGGTGTGGGGCCCACTTTGAAAAATTTATGTAGGATCCACATATATGTCAACACATGGACTCCACATGCATGCCCGCCAATGGCATGTCGGGCCTACATTGTAAAATGTATATGGGCCTTACATACATGTCCACCAATGCTATGTGGGGCCCACTTTAGAAAATGTATTTGGGTCCTATGTGTTAAATGAAAAGTTTGTTGAACCACACACAAGACATTCATATATACATAACCCACATATTTTCGTCACATTACCAAATGATTTTCCATCTGATTTTGTCTTTTAATTATCAGATCTTATAACAGATTTTCTGAAAAAGACTTACCAAACAGACACTCAGTTGGTAGGTGTTCTAGCTATTTGTACAAAAGACCTGCGAGTGGACCCTGAAGTTAGAGTGTTAGAAATGGGTTATCCCCCGTCTGTAGCCCCAGAAGAAGGAAAAAAAAAACAAAGGTACCGGAGATAATTAAAGAGAATTAGAGGAATTAATGTGGACCCAGATTTCCCTTGTAGAGGAAAGTAAAGAGTGAGAGGAATGAATGGAGACCCAGATTCCTTTCCTTGGATGGTTTCGGACCCAACTATCCAAACCCATCAAGTAACAATTCGTCTTCATGGAATGGTGGATATGCCTAACATCATCAATGTTGGAAGATAGCAATTCAAACCTAATTTGCGATAATTCCGAGGAACTGGACACGATGGCTGTGCAGTGGGCTGTGGAACCAATAACAACATCCAATGTCAAGACCTAAAGCTAATCAAATCATGGATCCATATAGGGGTGTCAATTGGACTGGATTTGGTCCAATCTGATCCAGTCCAATGTGAGTCCATTACAATTGAACCTGGTCCAATCCACAGTCCAATGAATATTTCGAACTATTTTGGACTGGTCTAGAGACTATTCAATCTGTTCAAATTTTTGTTAATTTAGATTGGTTTCAACTCAAACTTGGTCCATTGACAACTATGTTCTTATCTTTTATCAATGGACCAGATATTTGGTTCAATGCAATATAAATTCATTATGGACGGACTAGGTCCAATCCAATGTCATATTGGTCCATCCAGTCCATCCAAATTCAATATGCTTATTGGTTCGTCCAATCCGTCCAAATGAATTTTGATTTGGTTTTCCAACCAAAAACCAGTCAATTGACACCCCTAAATCCATCCATGTCAAGTAACTCATCCAGAAATTAAGATCAAATTTGATGCCTCGAGAAAATTTGATAGTAATTGTTGGATTGAATACCTTGAGGCTTGGACAGCATGGGAAGCACACAAATTGAAGAACACTAAATCCCCTTGTAAAATGAAAAACTGATTATTGAATATTTTGTTGTAAAAGCAAATCAAGCAACGGATTGGCTGATAAATGATGATCATAATTTATAACTCTCTCGCTGAAGCCGACCTATACTCAAGGGTCAATATTTTCCTGCCCCAAGTGAGAGAATACATCAGTAGTTCCTCTGCAGCTAGTCTGTTGTAGTCATCAGTATAAGATTGTGCTTGATTTTGTTATTCATGAGAAGATATTCTCAATGGACGGTTGCAATGCGCTGTGAGGTTGGTATGAGGTATGTTCTAAGAGGAGCAAATCTGATGTTCTAGACAACAGTAAAATCTGACGTATTTAATTTGACATATATTTTTTGGCGTTTTTCTTCGATTTTTTAAATAAAAATTAAATTTTATTATATTTAAATTAGTAAAAAAGCCGAACAAATCAGCAGATGAGCACGGAATACTAACTGGCACAACCCTTTGTGGAAATCCTTAAAAAAATAATTAACTATATATGGTATATCCGTCAAATAAACCACGTAAATTACAATTAAAACATTGGCGTATTCACTCATGATTAGTTAAACAACAAGAGACTACAGCTGAACATATTCCCATGAATATATAACAAATGGTCGAGATTTTCCCACCGATGTGCAGCTGTAGAGTCCTGTTGGTAGGCTTCTGAGATGGGGGACTGATTCTTAGGTGGTCTATATATATTTTCTACTGACAAACAGTTTACTATTCTGAATTCGGATTTGATGTTCACAAAATGTATAAATACAGGAGATATTCTCAATATATAGTTGCGATGTAGTATTGTGAAGAACAAAATTGACCGATTTCTGCCATTCTTTGCAATTTTTCTATTTACGGAACAACCAAGTTGGGTATTTCTATAAAAAGATGAGAATTAAAAGTTAAGGAGAGCTTACTTGGGGCAGGAGGGGAGGGAGGAAGCAGCCATGAAAGCATTAGGAGATCCGAAACTGGTAGCAAATGAAGGACCCAGATGTCGGGGCCGTAGAGAATGGAGGAAGCTGAGGGGATTTGCTGCTATTACTACGACCATTTTCTCTATGCCTTTTTCCTTGTATTTTCTTGAGAGATCACACAAGTCTGTGGACTCGTAGAGTCAGAGAGATAGAGACGTTGGAATGTCTATCTCTATGACTTTTTATAATCGAGAGGAGGGCCTGAGGTAATAAATGTAGCACATAAAGTTGGGACCAACCTCTCTGCGCGTCGTTGAAATGAATTCAACAGCTGTTTTTTTTTTATTATTATTATTTTGTATTTAATTGTATGTTTGAATCCTTGTAAGTAGGGTTCAATTTTGAATTCGAGATTTGATATAATCAGATCTAATTTAGTTAATTTGAATATTGTAATTGGTCAAATTCAGATATTTTATTCTTGTCAGTGTGTTAATTGGATATGACATGATTTGATTCGATAAATTTTTGAATTCAATCGATTATTTAATTCTTATATATAATATATAAAATATTTAAATATTTTATATAATTTTTATATATAATAATTAAATTATATAAATAATTTATATTATAGATAAATTATTTATTAATTATCTAAAATAATTAATCGGTCGAATTCAAATCGAATCGAATATTCAAATATTTAATCAAATCCGAATTCGAATATTAATTTTCAATATCCGTTAGATATTGAATCGAATTTTCTAATTAGGTTCAAATTTAGATATTGCTTGATTCGATTTGAATTCGATCCGTTTACACCCCACCCTTAAGGGGGTGTATTATTATTATTTTTTGTTTTTCTTTTTAGAATATTACAACACACTAATAACTTTCCTCCAAAGTTTGTAGCAGTGGGAATCAAATTCACATGTCCATTAGAACAGTCCAACTAATCTACCAACTGAGCCACCCCTTAGTTTGCTACTTGATATGACTTTCACCAAAATAGCTTAAAGCTGTCTTTGTGGCTCACCTTGGACACTCGGAAATTGTTGTGCTTCAACTCTCCTAATCAGGGATGTCAATTTTTCCCATTTTTCCAATCCTTGTAGAGACCTGTCCCATTATGGTGTGTTTGGTTGTTGTGACTGGGATGGGAAAATGGGAATATTCCCATAAGATTCCCACTTTCACGTGTTTGGTTGTTGCGATGTGATGGGGAAATTTTTATCCCTATTGGTGGGGGTGGTGGGGATCCCCACTTATATATGCATGTGCGTATATTAATATTTTAAAAATATGATCGAATATGTTTGAATATATTTGAGTCTTTTTTAATATGATTGTAAATTCTAAATATTTTATTTTTAATTTTTAAATGAAAAAAAGCAAAAACAAAATGATTGACATCATAAAAAAAATTACAGGTCTGGAGATCCCCATGGGATGGAGAGTGGCCCCCCATCCCCACCCACCCCGTTGCCATTCTTGATCCTAATTGGGAGGGCTTTCATGCAACGACTCCTGGCTTTGGAAGGTGGACCACACACAAAAATCCTAGAAGATATGTTCCAACTGCCGTTGACCCGGACGGTCGGACCATTCGGCCTGGGAACTGTCCAAGCAACCGGTTTCATTTTACCCCAAATCCGAACCCTAACTAAAAATTGTTGAATCAGTCAATAACCCATTAACCTGGATGGTTGAACCGTCGACTCGTTCAATGGTTTTTAACTGTTAGACTAAATGCCAGTTGGGTAGCAGCTTAAGCAGTTCGTGAATCGGGATGTCCTTAGAAGCTTGAAATTCAGGCCAGAAGAATAAAAAAACCTTTAGCTTTGTACTGTCCATAGCCTGTGCTTTCCACATGGTTCTCTGAATATGAGCTTCATATAACAGTAGTAACAGTGCTCAAGAGATTAGCGTGTCTGATGAAAGGAACACGTGGACAGCCGAAGTTCTATAGAAGCCAACGCTTCACCAGACAATTCACTGTGTTAACATGTGATATCCAATGCGCGAGTTTCAATGCATTTAAACAATTAAAGAGGCTTGCAGGTCTGATGTATTTGGACAATTAAAGGGGTTTTAGAACTTTGATGTACTCAGCAACCCATTTGATTGAGCTGCAGTCAAAAAGCCACTAAATGTAAGTGCCCGTTTGGGAGGTGATTGAGCACCTGTGTTCCCCAAAAGCTATATGGAGTAGCTTCTTATTCTTTTTTCAGTAGTGTTTTTGGAGTTTAGAACACAGTGAAGGGCTTTCTGAATTTCACCAAACACAGCTTTTGGCGTTGTTGTGTGGGACTCAGCAGAATCCCAGAAGTTGTATCCTGAAAGCTTTGGTGACTAGTCAGAACAGTGAAAGCCCCTCCCAATAAAGCCGAGGGTCTCACGGAAAGCTTTATAATTTATCGATTAAATGACTAGTCAGAACAGTGCCATGCAGGGACTGCGTATGCACGGACTGTCAATGGGTGGTTCAATTAATACAGCCATTGAATTATTTAAGGCCCAAAGTTTACAAGTATTTATGTTTTTTGGTAACCCATTTTTCAAACTATTTATTATGTTTTTAAGTATTTATTGGGGTGGAAATGTTTATTAAGTTGATTTCCCCACAAGTGTTTATATTGAACATTAATGACAATTTTAACCTTCACTACACTCATACATATATCACAATTATTTTTGCATATTATAATATACATTTCAATTACAGCCCACGTGAACCCACACCTTGATTGCCATGTGGATCCAATTAATAATAATAATAATAATAATACATTTCTGCCATATGTCCTTTATGGCAGGCATAATGCAAGTACGTGTTGTTTAGACTTGCAAAACCACCTTTAAGCGACCAAGAGGAGCTATTGCAGTACGGGATGTTGCTCCTGTAACACCTCCTGCTATTAATTGTTGGGGAAGATGGGGTTACTGTAACTTTGGAGGAGAAGCTCTGAGGCGTGTCTGAAGACACTGCCTTTAGAACGTTATTTGCCCCCACTCAGTTGCACTGAGTTTGCTGTTGGGTTACAGGCAAATTCGTTCCCATGATACAATAGAGCCTTGGGCGAGAATCTGTAACCAGCAAAGTTGAAGAGTTTCCAAAGAAACCTTTCGTGAGACTGCAGCAAACTGGACTGAGAGAGAGAGAGAGAATTTCGAAATTGTGTGATTTGGAGTCTGATTCATGCTCCTTAAATAATTTGTGAAGAGGTATGAGGAAAAGGTGGGTGCTGGTTTAGAGAAGGCACCTTGAACAGTCACAATGATTGTGACTGTTCAAAAAGTAGTTAACAGTTGGTGATTGTTAACTTTGAATTGTGCCTTTTGATCACACTCAATCGAATCGTGATCGTTGATCTGATCAACGGTCAGCAATGCACCAAAACCAAAGCCACCCATCGTGAGCCACGCGGGTGCACGCGAGCAAAGTGCGCCTCTAAAGCGCCTCATTGCGCCGCACACACATGCGCACACGCGTGCGCGCATGTTGCGTGGTATCGAATCCCTATTCTAAGGAGTGTAAATCAGCTCCTATTGAAATACTAAAAACAAAACTTATAAATTTCCAATGTGGGACAAGTTCAAAACTAGGTTTTTGTAAGAGAAAAACTGATTTTTAAATCAAGTGTGTAGGTACAATTTCTCATGTAATTGACCAATCAAACCCATTGGATTTAATCTCTTATGAGATTAAAATCCAACATTAATTATCTGCGTGCATGGACATGCTTCCTGATGATGCCTTATGGAATAACAAGCCTACTCCCCAATATGTACAAGGCATGCATATACCCTCTCCGGGTAATGATAAATATTCTCAATAGTAGCCTCATGGGGATATAATAGAAGAAAATCTCTCCATTCTTCAAATGTTATAATTCCATTGTTATCTTTGTCCACATGTTCCACAAAACGGGCAAGTTCTTCATCATCAATTTCAATCCATATAGAAGAGAATTGCCATGGCTTATAGGAGGAAAACAAACTGATTGAAAAAGGAAGTATTGCACAGCAAGTCATAAATGGCTAAAACCACAATTTCAATCCCATCTCTCTAGCCACGTTAAGGAGCTTGTTCAAGGGATCATCAAGGGTGAGACTCAAGTTCTAGCAATGTTGGTGACCATGGAGGAAATCTTCAGAGGAACCAAGGAGTTCAAGCAAAAAGTGTTCGAGAAAGTTCAGCTAGAACTCAACCAGTTCGGCCTTCTGGTCTACAACGCCAACGTTAAGCAGCTGGTCGACGTGTCTGGTCATGAGTACTTCTCGTACCTTGGCCAGAAAACTCAAATGGAGGCTGCCAACTAGGCTTAGATCGATGTGGCTGAGGCCAAGATGAAAGGTGAGATCGGAGCAAAGCTTCATGAAGGGCAGACAAGGATCATATCAACCCAAAGCCAAGGAGAAGGGAAGAAGGAAGAGATTAAGGTGAAGACAAATGTGAGGATATATGAGAACCAGAAGGAGGCCGATGTTGTAGAGGCCAACGCGGATTTGGCGACAAAGAAAGTGGGGTGGACTTGCTAGGCTCAGATGGCGGAAGTGGAGTCAGCAAAGGCGGTGACCATCCGAGAGGCTGAGTTGCAGAGAGAAGTTGAGAGGATGACCACATTGACCCGCACAGAGAAGTCGAGCTACTGAGTAAGGCCAGTGTGGAGTATGAAACCCGGGTATGGAGCATTGCCGATTAATCCAGTCATGTTCTTTCTATTTTTCTTCTTTTTTTCTAAATAAATCCAACTGTTCTTGATGAAATTTCTATGATTTCCGAGGCATAGAAAGCAATTGCAGAGGCATTTTTTTATGCTTGCCAACAAGTTGCAGACGCAGAACTGTATGCAAAGAAGAAAGAGGCCGAGGGAATAATGGTGCTTGCACAGGCGCAAGGTGTTTATCTGCGGACTCTGCTGGAAGCATTAGGAGGCAATTATAGTGCACTGAGAGACTATATGATGATCAATGGCGGAATGTTCCAACAGATGGACATCGTCAAGGCGTATTTGGAAAGGGTAAAATAGGTATTTGCAAAAAATTAATCATCGGTTTAACATTTTCCGTTATGATTATTGACCGAAGGGAGGTTTTTGTCATTTTATTTTTGAAAATAGCGGGATGTTTTTGCTAAAGTAAAGCTATAGGGGAGGTTTTTATGATTGTAAGAAAGTTCAGGGGAGGTTTTTATATTTT